TCTACAGAATGTTGATAAAAACATGTTTTAGTTGAAGAAAGTGAGGAGTTTAAACACTGTTTGTCTTCTTTGTTGGAAGTTTTAAATATTTATAGAAATGTAGATTATTTAATCCAAACCTGAATTTACCTGTTTGTCTTTTGACTCATTCCACCTGAGAGACAAAACTCAGGGTGAGACTCTGCTGTTGTTAAACTGAGACCTGAAGCCAAACACCTGAGTTAGACCAGGAGCCTGCTCTGAGTCCAGCAGACCCAGGTTCTGGTTCTGGTTCTGGTTCTGGTTCGTACCTGGAGGACAGCAGTGGGCTCTGGGCTGCAGGCTGGACTCCGCTGGTGGACATTTCTGCTCTGACTTCGGCGCCTCGGTTTCAGTCAAAAAAACGGACAATCAATCTGCTTTCAGGGTGTTTTTAATGAGGCGCACCTGGGCCGGGGGGCGGGGCCTGGCAAACCCACCTGACTTCACCGGGCCACGGGGCGGAGCCTGACCTGTCATGTGTGTTTTCTGAAAAGCCTAACTGGTTAATTTTAAAATGTTTTTCATGTTTTCTCTGAACCTTTTAAAACATTTAAAGGGATTTCTGAACAGGATTACATCCAGAAACCTGTTTGTTTTTCAGGTGAAATAATTAAATAAAGGTTGAGAAGAAGCTGTTTTTAAAGTTCACCTGAACTTATTTATCTCAGAGTAAAAATCACAGGTTTCTATGGAACAAAACTTMAGGAAACAAGTTTTAAACCGTTTTAAAAGCCTTCAGTAGTTTTTGTTTCACTTGTAATTCTCTTGGCTTCCTGCAGGGGCGCTGTTGTTGTTGTTTACCGTCGCTTCATTCGAACGAGTCGCAGTCATTTCCGGTCACAAAGTAAACAAGATGGCTTCTGGCAGCGGGGTGAGTTTATCCCATTGTTTCATACTTTATTAAAGTTTAATATTACTGATTGAATGTTAAAACATGGCTTTAGGTCGAGACTCCTTCCGGYCCGGTGTTGAAGCTGATCCGAGCTGTTTAACAGCTAGCATCTCTGCATAAAGCTAGCCGCGCTAATGCTAACAGCTAGCCATGCTAACAGACAATACCCTGAATAATTCATTTAACATGTAGTGATTATTACACAACATCCAGCTGTTACCGTTCTGCTGTGTGAACGCAAAAAGAAACGTTTAGCCTCTAGTATTAGCTCGGCTAGCAGCTTCTACGAAACAACTTCCGGCCTGTCAAAATAAAAGCTCTGACGGCATCTGTTCATTCAGAATAATTTAAACAATCAGCTTTGATTTTGCAATGATTTGTGTGTAGATAATGGATGAAGTAAACCTGGTGTGTTTTTACCTGTAAAACCAGCTGAATGAAGGAGCTGTGCTTTGTGGGATAAAATAACTCTGGTGGTTTAAACAGTGACGTCACTTCCTCCTGCTCAGTAACGACTACATTTATGTAAACAAATCAAAGCTCAGAGACGGTGCTGGGTCTGCTGGTGGAGGAAACACCTTCAGTCTGATCTTCTGTTTTCCTTTTGTTTAACAGTCCAGTAAAAACGACTTTCGTAGAAAATGGGACAAAGACGAGTACGAGAACCTGGCCCAGAAACGTCTGGCGGAGGAGCGGGACCGCGAGAGGCGAGATGGTGAGGAGCTCTCCAGTCTGGTCCAAGTAAAGGCTTCAGTTCAGTCACATTAAAGTTTCTGTTCACTGAACTCACAGGAAAAGTGGCTCCGCCAGTCAAGAGGGATCTCCTGCGGCACCGAGACTACAAGGTGGACCTAGAGTCCAAACTGGGGAAGACCATCGTCATCACCAAGACCACTCCTCAGGCCGAGATGGGCGGGTCGGTTCTGCTTGTAAACCCACTGAAAACTAAAACATAACACAAGGTCTTACACCTGTCCTGACAGGAAGTACAGGTGTCCTGACAGGAAGTACACTTATTCTGACAGGAAGTACAGGCGTCCTGACAGGAAGTACAGGCGTCCTGACAGGAAGTACAGGCGTCCTGACAGGAAGTACACTTATTCTGACAGGAAGTACAGGCGTCCTGACAGGAAGTACAGGTTCCTGAGAGGAAGTACACTT